TCGACGATCCACTTCGTGCGTTCAGCACTCTCTTGGTGTCCTCCAAGACAGCTTCATTCAGAAGCGACAACGAGTTAATCGTTTGGTCGTATAATGGCCACATCGGCTAAATTGCCTGCCTTCAAGGCACCGCTAAACTCTTCGAAGAGCATCCACCGCAGGAATAGCCTCGAGGGTGAAGTTGCCGTCTTTTTTTCCCGTCATACCGTCGACAAGGGTATATAGCTGTAAGCTGTTGTCTACGGTAGACACACTGGGTCAGGGTCGATGCCCTGCGTCTTGCTGATAACATACGGCTTCGCCGTCTCCTCTCCATAGAGGTTTGGCGTCTCATCGAGACCAGTAGGAACACGCACTCGGCGTCGTTCAGTGGACCCACTCCCTGCTCCATCGGAGCCTTGATTTTATTAACAACATACGACGAAGAGTTGAAATTTTTACAGTCTTCGTCCAGCGGATACCGTGCCACTCCACGAATATCAGAGGGGCCTTGCCCAGGATGCGGCATGCAGCAACTGCTTCGAAGCGTGAGCAGTGCTCAGTGGATCACGTGCCACTCCGCGCGCATCACAAGGGCCTTGCCCTTGATGCCTCGGACCTAATCCGACCATGCTAATTTTGGCACGCAGTAACTGCTTCGTTACGTGAGCAGTGCTCAGTGGGTTACGTGCCACTCCACGTGGTCTCTCCCTTCATGCATCGGACCTTGGCCGACCATGCCACTCTTGGTATGCAGCGACTGCTCCAATACTTGAGCAGCGCTGAGTGGGTTACATGCCACTCCACGTTCAGCCCGTGAGCCACGCTCGGGGACTCTTGTCCAAAACACGTTTGGTGTTCAATAACTCGGATACTCCGATGTCTAGCACTGTGGCTGTCTCGGTCCAGTGCCCGCGCTAATAGCGCTTCTACTTTCTAGCAGAGGTAGGTTACTGACTCACCACAGCTCGACCACGAGACGAGAGCGAAGCGCCAAGGTCTTCAACCCCCAATCTTCTCATGGATCATTGTGCTCCAACCATGTCATACCAAGAATAAGGTCATACCTTGCATCCAAGTCTAAGACTAGGCAGCGTTCCACGCTATCGAAGTCAAGAAGCTTGACACCGAGGTCTACAGGGACCCTCAGCTTAGTGACGCAAGTCCCCGTCGCTAAGAGAACAGTGGTGTCACTCAACCGCGTATATAGCGCCTCAGCATACAGCTGACTTCCTCCGATTGTGGAGCGTCGAGCATACTTGCCCGACGCACCAGAATCGGTAGGGAACTATCATGGCTTAACAAAGCCTTTCAAGGATTCTTTGACGACCAGCAAGCTCAGCTAGCGCACACGCTCCGTGTAAAAGAACACACAGCTCTTCGGAGCTGGCTTCTACCTCTTTAAGGCTCAGCAGAACTGAGTTCTCCCCCAGTAGGGCACCCGCGCCTACTGGGTGTTCTTGTTTCCCCCGCGACAAAACAGGCTGGTTAGATGCAGGACGTCGGTTCGACGAACCTTTACGCGCCTTGCGCAAGGGATAAGTCGTCCGAAGGTGACGGGGGTCTCCACCAATAAAACAACGTCGGATGTCTACACGCTGCTCAGCAGCTCGGAACTCCCCCTCCTACTTCTCAGCCTAGCTGAAATCCATCGGCTCAGGCCCGCTCGACGGGCTCTGAGGGTGTGCATTCCAACCAAGCCGTGCCGACCCGAAGTTGAATTCGGCATTCAATGCCACGTTTGCTGCTTCATCAAAAGAAGGCGAATGCACACGGAAGATTTTCATTCTGGACACACCAGTGTGGAGGCCCTCCATACAGACGGTCACTGCGACCGCCTCGGGAGGAGGATCTGCTATCATTCCGGCACTAAAAAATGTCAACTTTTGGACAAAATCCACCAACTCCATCTTACCCTGTCGGGCAGTTAGAAAACTCTCACGCAATATGCCTGATTAGGCGGCGAGAACACTCGCAAAATCTAACGCTTCAGTCCCTTCTAGGAGGAGAACGCAGCTTCAATCAAAGCACCGCACGTTAGTGCCCACTCTGGCGCTCAGCCCCCGAGCTTGAAGTTAGCTAGTGCCACGAGCTGCTCCTCTTTTTGGAACGTGGCTATTTCGGTCTTTCTCAACGAGAGAAGGAGATTGTCCACATTCTTACCCTCGTAGGTCTTAACGTTCACCATGAGCGGCCTGGGTCGGAAGGAATTATCCGTCGTCGACGGTGGCATCATATATGCAGTCGACGCTGACAGCTTTGGCTTAGGTGCTCAAACAGAGCATTTTATAGCCTACAACAAGGTGCTCCACGTCCTCATAGCCCAGCATGGAGATCAGCTTCTTAAACCCGTTCGTCATACCCTGGGGCAAATAGGAGTATTCCTCCATCCACACAGAGGATCAGTCGTAACGACTCAGACGTAGATTGACTACGAGTGCATCCGAGTGCAGCGAGTCTGCCGTAGCACTTTGCTTAGAGGAAGCTAAGCTAAGGTCACGGACCTTACGTTGTGTACAAGTACTAGTACAAGTGTAGCGGATCGCAATCCGCTACTTCTAAGTACTAAAGCCTTAACCAAGGCAAACGAATACCTCTGTTCAAAAATTGATACTGTATTAAATTGTTTTAGTTGCGGCAGAGCCGCCAATATCTAAGATCCTAGGTTTCCCTAATTGATATAGTAATATCTATTTTAAAGTAGCAAACCTAATTAATATAGTAATATGTCATAGTACTGACAATCCTGCCACTTGTTACGGTGTAGTCACGCCACTGTGTTATTACACTAATTGTGTAATAACACAGCTATGTACGGTCGCACAATCTTGTGCGACCGGCCCTTTCTTGCTAGAGCACATGTAACCCCGTTACACCAGTCTTGTATACTATCAACATCATAGCACCGATAGATGGGACGCGGGGGAGAAACCATGTCAGAGTTAGGGTTGTCGTATATATATGTATGGCGCATGACTAAATGAACGAAGACAGCACGCGGAGGTATCGATAATGCCGAACACGAATACCATATCCATTCTTGTTTTTAATGGAGACATTTCGAACGTTCTTTTAGCTTTTTTGTGGGCTTTGACAGCGTGGAGAATTTGGAATACCATCTCTTTCAAGATATGGCGTAGCGGGAACGCCACGAGCCATGGATCGGCTAAAAGCTGAATATGCTAGGTCCCATGCATTACTCTATTTGTGATTGGGGCTCTGGTGAAGTAAGTCTGGTGCCGAACATTGGGTTGTCCGAATTAATATGAACGTATGTGATGAGACGCGAATAAGCGATTGTAAAGCACGGTCTTAAAAGTTATATCTGCTGAGACAGAGGCTGCTGTTTTCTAGGCGTATCTCTTGTTGGAATTTTGATAACACCTGTAAGCTGGGAATATCGGAAGAGCTCTGGTGGAATGTAACGAGTGGTTTATTGTTGCATCCTCCTAAGCAAGAGTTTTCGAAAATTGGTGACTGGGAATGACAGAAAATAGGTCAGGCGTTATAGTTACGAGAAATAGGCCATCCTTGTGAATCAGCAGTACTGTGACCACCCCGTGCGGAGCAGTTTGATTCGACGATTTTATTGCAAAAGATTCAGTTCACTTGTGAATAGGGTGGACTAGGAAATCCTTTCTTGGGAGGCAGCGTCGGGGGATAATACCTCCAGAGTATGCTCTGGGAGTGGTTGGTTATACTCAGAAGAATGTGAAATGGTACGGGCGTATTAAAGCTGCCACAAATATTGCTGTAAGGAAGTGTTTTGGGTGTTTTAATTCTGATCCTCTAAGCTGAGATCGACCGCTTTAAGTTGTCTGGTGACGCTGTGGCTTTTGTCTTAGAGTGTGCATTACTGTAAGCGGATGTGAATGAGCATCACATTCAAGTGTGGTCACCATAAAGCAGTAGAGAAGAACTATCTAGTCCATGAAATATCTACTTGCTATGAAGTATGCTCTTGTCGAGGGTCAGGGTATAACGTTTCTCTCTTAGTTCGTGATCGATACAGATCGTGCCTCGCAGTGCACAGCAACGCTGTCTGCATATATTGCATTGTGGATGCCAAAAAAATATTTTGTTTTATGAATGCACCATCGCAAAAACGTAGAAGCAGAGCCAGCTTAATGTGGTGGCGATTGTGCTTTTGCATCGCCCCGACTATGGGCTGTCGCATGCCACGAAGGTGACGTCAAGCATTGATGAAGCGATAAGGTTCAGATTCATTATTTGTTGCATTGTTGAAAGGTTTTGAGGAGTAATATTTTGAACTCAAAGACCGTTTATCGAAGCGTTTTGTCTAACACTTACACCGCTAATCCATATCCCAAGGTTTGCTGTTTGGCAACGCGGACGTCCTCGCCATTCAACGTATTGTGGTCTGACAACCTTAAGTAGGTAATACTTCACAAAGCATATAACTCTCCATGTGTGATCACATCGAATAGAAAAGACTCACGGCTTAGCGAGTGCTATGGTTTGGTAGGCAGACCTTTATAAATGGGTTAACGCTTGTGCGCGCGTGATAAACTTGTAAAACGGGTTACATCCTCACAGCATGCGTCGGTGCCGCAGGCCAATCTGCTGTTTCCGGCAGAAGTTCTGCAGTCCATGACTATGATTGTTTAATATGCCAAAGGAGGCGTTCAGTAAGCATTACAGTCTTTGTGGGTCGTCTGAGCAAATGGACCACCTTGCTGCTGTAAGCAAATCCGATACCGGTGAGGATACATAGAAGCTGTTCTCGACAAAGTGTTTTGTCAAAAAAACTTGCCGGTTGCCATTGCTTTAAAATGACATCTGCGTTTTCCAGCAAAATTTAAGAAACTTTATTCAAGGCGCTGGACAGTAGAATCGACATGCCCGTTGCTGACAATTCACAACAAGACGGTCAGGCTTCAAGCTCTCATCGCACAAGAAATAGTTTTCTTAGAGCGCTTGCGCGAAGTAATTGCTGAGCGGGGTGCGCTCAATTAGTGACATTTAGATCAGGCGAGCAGAGCCTGCCACTACCATCATTACCCAATTTTATATTTACACCGGGGTTCCTTTGAAACCGCCTTAAAGTGATGGCGGTCTTGGTGACGCGGAACTGTCGATACAATTAACTTGCGAATATCAGTTTGGTCAAACTTCGTTACAAAAGCAGATATTTGGTCTCAATCAGATTTAACGTCATGCGCTGAGTGAGGGACGCTATTACTTAGAGCCAGAATGTCCGAAAGAAACGCTGCAACGCCAGAAGAAGGGGGGAACACACATGAATATGTAGTATAAGTATAGACTTGCTTAAACGCTGTTCACCAAAATTTACATGCAGTGTATACGTTCTATAAGACGAGTTGGGACGTCGCTACATCGGATCGCCTATAGTTATAGCCGGAAAGAATTTGAGGCTTCAAGAATGCGAGCAAATTCCAGGTTTATCGTGGGCATGCTAAGGCATACCACAATCTTGCTTAATCGTACATGAAGCGCTTTATTAAATACAATGCAACGTCTTAACCATCATCTTCAGCTGAGCCACCTTCTGTTCATGAGAAGTTATATACAGTTCCCAAGCGCATGGGCGCTTTAATGCACTTTGCATGTTATAGTAGCTTAGATAGTGCATTCAAAATGGCTGATGTCAGTATCACTCGTAAACTGAGAATCTCAGTGTGGTTGTACGTACCGCCATAGACGAGAGAGCTCACGTGTATGGGCCACGAAAGGGAGGACATTCGCTTACACTGCTCGATGAACAAAGGGTGGCCCACTTCTATGTGCGACAAATACCCCCCCCTTCACACTCATGAGATTTTGATGTCCACAGCAATATTTTGTTGCCGTCTACGACTTGAAATCCTCTCTGGCATTTTTTCTTCGGGGTAAGAGACAATTCAACGTACTTCCCACAAGTAAGTGGGGATCGACCTTGTTTGTCTTAAGTTTGGCCCCTGTCCTGTAGCTGTACCAGCTGGACCTTTCTGAAGAAAAGAGCTAAGGACAGCAACTACATGAGTTGATTAGCATCCACCTTAAAGTCTACATGCACTTTTATAAGTCAGCACCAGGAAACGATTCAATTTGACGCCTGCTCTACCAAGCTGTGAGACGAATGAGACGGCGTGCTTTTTAACCCAGTGCACAATTAAGTAAAATATTTATTGACTTTTACCAGCATAATAAGCCAAGTGGATAGTTTTAAAGAAGAGTGCAAGCTCAGCTAAATGATGCTGCTCCAGGCACAGATAGCACTCCTGAGGATGACCTAAGGCCAGCAAATTCAAAAAATGCGACTTTGAGCGCTTGACTTGCTCTCTGTCTGATCGCAAGGCCCGCACGCATAGATGTTTAAGCGATTTGTCGCGGCACAGAGGACGCCATTCAACACGACGCGATTGAGTCTGCAAGAGTCGCTGTTTTGTAGATGTTCGAGCTCGGCCTGTCAAGCCAGGTTCAGTTCTTTTGTGACGAGCTGAACGTCTTTATGAGCTCTGAGCAAGATGCATAACATCCTCCGCCGAAGGGCACGTGGCTTGCAGCTCACGCAGGTGTAAGCAAGAGCGATAGAAATGCATCAGCCTTGGAGAGGTTCCACAAACCGGAATGGGCTATACTATTCATTCGGATGAATGCGCGCTTTGCGCAGAGAGCGCTTCGACAAAAACGTCCCGCTAAGCAAGCGCATATAGGTCAAGACAGATCCTCCCAAGTGATAGCCAAAAAGTTGCTTTGCGTGATATATGTCATGGCTTATTTTACAGACAAATACTATATAAACGCTTTACCAAAAACTGCTTCAGTTTCTCGACGTGCGACTAGAAGACCACGTGATCCGCGGATTATTGCACAAAAGTGCAATGTGCGTTTTGTACAATTTTATAGTTGTGTATTTACTACAGATGTAGTAAATGTTCAGAGTGTTAGTACACAGGGTAACAGTGCTTCACCGCACACTACACTTCACACTTGATGTGGATCTTACTGAACTCACACTGAATTTTTCCCTTATGGTACTGCACTTGAGTGACCGCTTCACTAGCAGTCATAGCGTCTGAAGTTTTGATGTCCGAAACTTCACTTCCTACGATTACCCGTGACTGAAACTTGAGGCATACATAAGCCGGCAACTCCCTCCCAAAAAAATTGGCTTCACAAACTTCGAGGAGAATCTTGCCCCCTGCGATCAAAGCTCCTGCAAAAGGTCTCGACGAGGAATTCGAAGAGTTCTTCGCTGAGAACGGCTGTAGTAACTCGCCGAGTCCTGATAAAAACATCTCCGCCCTTACTCGAAGAACGACTTAGTCGCTGCTTAAGAAGAGAGCTCTCGCCGCGCCAAGACTCCCTGCAGCACAAGTCCCGTACACTGTGCTATTTTTCTGGCCAAGGTGTCTTTCTCCCTCTATTACAAGTGCAAGGGTCGCATCAACTCTTTCCAGAATCACGATGTCGTGATTACGATTTTTTAAAACTGTCTAAGGCTGCTGACTGTGCAAGGTCGGAACTCCTGCACGCCTATGCACGTTAGTCTATCACTCTAACCAACGAAAGATCAGGCGTCAAGTAAACGCTGAGCACAACCTTTCACAACTCACAGGTCACAAATTGCTAAGAAGTTGCGCCTGTGCATAGAGCAGCTGGGATTGCGGAAGTTCGTCTTGGGTACTTGAAGCTGGCGAGAGTGCATATGGGAATCAGACTCAATAAGCGCACTGAGCGAGGAATACTTACACCGTCTTATCCGTATCACGGCTTTACAAGCCATTTGAATGAATCAGACTATCGTCTTGAGAGTTTACTCCTACCTAATTTTGCACAGTACAAATCGTAACACAGACAATGAAGGGGTAGCCTATCAGCTCCAGATCCTTCTTTCAAATTTGCTTGTCTTTGCAAGGCAGTTGCTACAGCTACCAACCAAAAATCTGCTACAGCTGCCGACCCGAAACAGATATAGCTACGACCAATGGTCCTTCTCATCGCAGGTTTGGTTGCCACTCTCGAGTGAGAAGCACTACGACTGGTCATCCTGCCTCGTCTCCAATGGAATTGGAAGCCGAGGATGTGCTAGGGAAGACGTGCAATTTGCAAAACGCGATACCCCAACTTTCCATGTGTTTTTCAAATGACGATCTCTTTTCATACATCAATAATAAAAAAATCTATATCCACCAGCCCATCAAGCGATTCGCGTGAAACGAGGCTGCTTTTACTCATCGAGCAGTCAACCCTCCCGCATCTGGCTCTCGTGAGCTATCGCAAATGTGGCGACGCGTTATTTCTCTAGGTGTGCGTCCGATGCTGGGATGTCAGATTTTGATAACGCTACATAGCTTCGTCACCCCACTGCGCGACCTTCAATGTCTATATGGGCGTGCAGAATGACCAACAGCCTGATCATCACTCGCTGCGTGATTTGAGGCACCCCTAGTAGCTCAGAACCATATCCCTGCTTCAAAGCAGATTATAGCCCTGCTGCAAAAATGTTGGACACGCTGCATT